GAGAGGCTCGACGAGGCCCTGGGCAACCTGGTCTAGTTGGGGGGGGCCCTGCTGACTGCGGGGAGGTCGGGCTAGATGGCCTTTGGAGGTCCCTTCCAGCCTGGACAACTCTATGATTCTATGATTCTAAGTGTGCCATGAGTTTGTGGGGTCTCGAGTGCTATTTCGGGGTGTAAAAGCTTGGTGGGGTTGTGGGGGGGACACCCAGCCTCCCTAGAGCATCCCGTGAGTGATGCCGTGCTCCCTCCTGCAGCATCCCCGAAGATGGAGCGGGGCAGTGAGGACCTGCTGAAGCTGGAGACTGGCTTTGGGGACACGGAGGTGGCCCGGTAGGTGATGGCAGAGGCTTCATCGGGGTGGGGGTCCCCCCCCCAGCAGCCCAGCAGCCCCCCAGCTGGGTGCCAGCAGCAGGGATGCATCCCGGGGTGGGATGCGGCGAGGAGAGGTGGGTGGGGGGTGTGTGTGGGGTGTGTGTGGGGGTTCTACTCCATGTCCCAGCGTTGAGGACCGTGCCTGTGCCACAGGGCCACCAACCTGAGGGCCAGCTTGCCACTACCAGAGTACTGTGGGCCAACTGGGCGCCTCAACCTGGCCACCTACCTGCGGGGCCAGCGGGCTCGGCGTTGGCTGCGCCCACGTCTCTGCGTGGCTTATGGTGAGTGCCACCTGGCAACCCCACCATGGGGGCCAGCTGGGGTCCCCTCACCCATGCCAATGCTCGCCCCCCCCCTCTTCCAGGCGTGCACCCCCAGGACAGGACCATTGGGACCAAAAACTTGACGGTGGAGGCAACGGACTCCATCAACATCCTGGTCCACGCCGCGGCACGGCAGGGTAAGGTGGGAGCATTGGGGGGTGGGGGAGTGTGGGGTGTCCCCCCACCCTGGACCCCCCACCCTGAGCACCCCTTTGCCCCCAGACCCGCTCCCACAAGCCGATGCTGAGGGTCTGGATCCACCATTGATGGAGCGGCTCTGGGATGCTGGTGGCCAACCCGCTGCCCTGTGGCACATCTTCCGCCCCGAGGACGCCGGTCGCATCCAGGATTTCTTGCAGAAGGTGGGTGTCATCACCTCCTGGACCATCCTTGACCCATCCAGTGAGACCTGGATGAGCTGGAGAGCTGGGCAGAGAGGAACCTGATGAAATTCAACCAGGGCAAGTGTAGGGTCCCACACCTGGGGAGGCCCTGGACCATCCTTGACCCACCCAGTGAGACCTGGACAGGCTGGAGAGTTGGGCAGAGAGGAACCTGATGAAATTCAACCAGGGCAAGCGTAGGGTGCTGCACCTGGGGAGGAAGAACCCCCTGCGCCAGCACAGGTTGGGGGTGACCTGCTGGAGAGCAGCTCTGAGGAAAAAGACCTGGGAGTCCTGGTGGACAACAGGATGCCCATGAGCCAGCAATGGGCCCT